TTCCTAGACCTGGATGAAGGGGGGAGGGCCTTTGACTTCCCACAGGGCAGGGCACACTGGCTTCTCTTAGGACTGGAGGGAGAGGGGGAGCGAGGAGAGTAGGAGGGTAATAAGAGGAGGGGAGGAGGTGGAAATTTTTAATAAATAAATAAATTTTACAAAACATTGGATATAATTTAATAACAGCTGTTTGTAGTTTTGAGTGCTATTATAGATAAGTTGGGGTCTGTAAAGTAACCTTTTCCCTTCAAATAACTCAATTCAATTATTCTTCTGTAAAAACAAAATAAATAAATAAATAAACAAATATAGAACTAATAATCAAAGAAATTGAATAATTGAAACCTGACAATGGAATTGTTACAGAGTAATCATTTTGATTGACACATTAGGATTGCTGTTATACCATGGAATGTTCATTGGACATGTTGCACAGAACACAAAAAGAGACACTGAGTCCAAAAAGCAAAACATGCAAACCTTTAGAAAGATAATCATAAAACATCATAAAAGGGGAAGCATTTATGAACCCTCAAATGAGGACACACACTTTTAACCAAAGCACTAGAAGATAGACCTTTGAATTCAAAGTCAACTTGGCCCACAAAATGCGTTTCAAGACAGCCATAGCTACAGAGAAACGGTCTTGGGCGGATATGCTCTTGCTCAGCTTTCCGTGCTGTGGTCAGATAGATGCATCGAGCCTCCTACAACATCCTGTAAGTTTTATTCTGGCTTTCCCTCTTGTCAACTGACGCAGCACTATGCTGTCTGTGCACCTAAATCTTGTGTGTACTGGTGAGTCCTGCTGGGAATGAAGGGTGTGCAATAACAGGGTGGAAATATCATCATGGGAGGCTAGATCTTTCCACAGAAGAAACACTGGCTTCCGTGGTTGATATCGGTGTATGAGTTGATCATAATGAAGTGAGCTCTGACTCTACTGTACAGAGATCCAACAGGGACCAGGGTATCAGATCACTAGGCTGTTGGAAGGAGATAGATCATCCATCATGAGCTTTTCTTTCCAGGCTTCATCCTACTCCTGAAGACTTTGATACAAGCAGGTGAGTCCAGCCATAGCCTTGAGATACTAAAACCCATGCCAATACAGAAGTTTCATTCCAACGAGAGAGTAGGCATCACGGTGTGTTATCTGGTGGAATCTGTGAGTGAATCTTTGGTTAGTGTCCTGAACTATGAAATTAGGACCTTGAAAACACACCTCTCAGTCCTGTCCCAGATTGTACCGGACACTGGCCCTGGCTCAGTTAGGCATCAATTTTGATCAGACAAACATTTTTGTTTTTGTTTTTATAAGACAGGGTTTCTCTATGTAGCTCTTACTATCCTAGAACACACTTTGTAGACCAGGTTGCCCATGAACTCAGATATTCACCTGTCTTTGCCACCCAAGCGCTGGAATAAATAAATAAAAGAGAGAACATAGCTGGGAATGGTGGCCCACCACTCAGAAGGAAAAGGCAGATGGATCTCTGTGAGTTAGAGGCCAGCCTGGTCTACAAGACCTAGTTCCAGGACAGGCTTGAAAGATACAGACAACCCCTGTCTCAAAAACTATATATATATTAAAAGAGTGGGCCATAACACCTGAAGAATAATCAATGCTTATGAATAAAAATAGTCTTTCCCTTTCTACCCTATCACCTGACCATCCCCACTTATTTTTGATATTATGATGCTATAATTTATTACTTTTTAAATATGTGTATCACTTGA